GCTGAGGGGAGCAGTGGGCAGGTCAGGAGAGGTCTGCCGCGCCATGTGGGTCAGCTCCGGGGTAGGTGGGGATCGAACTCATGCAGAAATGACTTTAGCCCCCAGTGCTGTGCTTTAACCCACTGTGCCACCAGGGAGGGCCAGACAGTCATTTTTTAAAAGAATTTCATTACAAGTTGCAGTTGATACTAAAGCCAGGGGAAAAAAATCAGAAAGAATTGGATCTTCTCAATCATGGCAAAAATTAACTTGCTGTGTTACGATGACCAAATTAAGGAAGTGAACAATGTGTACAATACAAGTGAAGGCTGGGAGAATGGAAAGCCTTTTCACTTTTTCATGACCTTTCCACTGTGCTTTCTATATTATTACAAAACTCTATCCCTTGTTTCCACTTTTTCTACATTTTGTTTTCAAAGTCACCTGGTGTATGGCACACTTCTATGGTAAACCACTGTAATATTCTGTTGCAAACATTATTTTAAAAGGCGTTCTTATTCATTTTCAAGAGGAAAACTCCAAATGATGTCTTTTTCTCATGCCAAACTCTTAAAATAGCTCAAAATTCCTAAAAGTGATGTTAGAAATAGCTGCTTGAAATATTGGGCAAGAAGTAAAATTCAACAATTTCTCGATGTCTATACATTCACAATTTTTATAATTGTTGACAATCAGTGAATATCACACAGCATGGATCTACATAACCAGGATAGAATTCCTTAAGCCAAGAAAGACTTGAGGACACACCTTTATTGGCCTTGACCTTCTACCGTATTTTACTCTGGTAAACACCAGAATCCTAGCTTTACTGTAATTATTTTAAAGTTGAAACCACAAAAATGTGTGCCATCAACCATAAGAATTAACTATTTTGCCAGTTTTGTATTAAAGTCTCCACACTACACAGTGCAGAAGAAAAATGTAGCCACTTCACTCTGCTACAGGATCTCCTTGTGCCTAAACTTTGTACTGAAAATTAGTCGTGTGCTGCAGAGTATGGATTCATTTCATTTAAAAAGGTGTTCATTTCAGCTTCTTTTATGATGTCAAAAATGGTGAACAATCTACCCAGCCAAAGAAAATAGATGTTTGGAATGCTCGTAGCCATTGAACACATTTTAAAAGAATTTTTCACAAATGAGAAACTGATCATAATAATGGGAATAAAATGGTATTCAAAGATGTACATGTCATCACGGGGAACTCCTAATTCTAGATTTCTTTATTCTTTCAACAAGTATTAATGTAATCGATCGCTTTCTAGAAGAATCCTTCGGGTTTCGATTAAATAGGATCACTTTAGAGATATAAAACATAATTTCAAAATGCTGGAATTTGTCACCCAGTCATCCCTGAATGCCTTCTCTCTGTTCAATGTTGTGGGGTGGGAAGGACGCAAAGACACAGAAGATGGACCCTGGCTTCCCCAAGAAAGATGCAAATTCGTGGCAATCTATATCTTCTGGCTAAACTAAGTTCCCTTATTTTCTAAAAGAAGTGAAAAGAGTAAATGCTGACTAAATAGGAAGAGGATATGTGATCCACCAACGGAAGTTAGAAGGGGGCGAGAACAATGTGGAAGTTGTTCTCCAGAGGGACAGCTCAACGATCTACCTGATGGTCCCTCTGCAAAAGATCTGCCTGATTAGGTTACAATGGAAAGGTGCTTCATGGAATATCCATATGGCCACTAGGGGGAGCCAGAATGCTAATCTCTTTCTGCATGACTCTTTCAGCCTCCCTAGTGGAATCTGAGTTTGAGACTGAATGTAGTTCAAGAGTAGGAGAAATAATTTATTTTCAGCAAAATTAAGAGATATGATGTAGGTCACACAGTTAACAGGAAATCAGGGATTAGAAATCAAATGTTTGAGTCCCAGATCATTATCACATCCCAGGTTATACTGCCATCCAAGTCGGAGAAAAGTCTTCTATTCCTACAACAGGAACTAATTAGCAAATTATAAATAAATAAATAAATAAAACGATGGCAATAACAACAAAACCAACTAAGCAGTTAAAAGCTTCAGGATT